ACTATTTTTATTCTTTAAGTTACGTCACATTTCGAAATGTGAATTATAGTGTGATTAATTTCTAACAATTTAGTGTAGAATATCCTGTTTATGAAATAAAATTTGGCATTAACATTATTCCTGCCTGTTCTCTTGTTATTTCAAGTGAAAATTAAGCTTTGTCTGCGTGCGCAACTTTTCAAATGGGAGACAGACGAACGCTCAGACAGACACCACGGTTCGCAATATATATAAGATAGAAATTTGGACATCTCTAAGAAATCTTTGAGGTGATTTTTCTATTTAAAACACTACATAAAAACAGTTGATATTATACAGTTATGGTGACTAAAATGGTAACGACAGTATGACTGAAAAAATAAGAGTGTTCGCATTAGATGAATTACCAATTTACGTCTAACGTAAATTTGGCATCAACATTATTCATGCCTGTTCTCCCGCCATTTCAAAAGTGAATGCTGAGCTTTTCCTGCATGTGCAGCTTGTCAAATGGGAGACAGAAAAATGCTCAGACAGACATCACGGTTCGCAAAATATATATACATGTATATAAGTGTACTTTTATACTGGACAACTCAACTTATCCTGTTATAGCAACAAAGTTAATTTTGTTGTTTTTCAGAAGTTGTAGTGCATACTAAAGAGATTTAGATGTTTTAGCAATAAAGTTAGAAAAAACAACAACTTTTATTCTACAAATAATAATAAAAAACTTTTTATTTCAACCAATGTTTTTAATGTTATACAAGAATGATGAAGTTACAGTTGCCAAACATTGGCTGAAATAACAGAGTTAATTGATTTAATGTGTAAAATGCCTAAGCTAGTTTACTAGGCCTATTACATATGAAGAAATGTAAATTTGTTTGAAATTATACAATAAAAAGGGGAATGCAAAAAACAACAAATAACAATGTAATCAAGCACAATGTCTCATCATGTGCAATAGGCCTAAAACAGTTTTGTTACTTTGCCAGGTCATCAAAAAATGTTTAAAAACAAGTTAATTAGGTAAAATAAAAATTTTTATGGTATTTAATTAGGAGCTAAAAGGCTGTTTAAAATCTATGAAGTAAAACTAAAGTACAGGTCCTACTGTTATTAGGATTTTGTAAGCTTGTAGCAAACATAAGATAATTAATGAGGTGGAAAAAGTGTTTTTAATGTTTACATTAATTTAATATATATATCATTATTAGAAGAGCTCATGGTTTTAAGTTCTTTATATGAAAGGTGATGGCTTTATGTTCTGTTTTTGTTATAAAGACCTGTTTACAAACAGTACTATCAAACTTATATAAATCTAATTGAAACTATGGTTATTTTTTAAGGATTATGAATTAAATATACATGTATTAGAGAGTGAACTATATCAAACTTTCTGAATAAAAAACAAAACTGTTAATAACACATAGTTTCTTCATGACTGAGCTATATTAGCATGAGTACTGAATCAGTCTACATCACACATGTTCAAAGCACCCATCACCATTATCAATGCACGTGCAATGTAAAAGTTGTATAAGATGCCATATGCAATATACATGTATTAGAGAGTGAACTATATCAAACTTTCTGAATAAAAACAAAACTGTTAATAACACATAGTTTCTTCATGACTGAGCTATATTAGCATGAGTACTGAATCAGTCTACATCACACATGTTCAAAGCACCCATCACCATTATCAATGCACGTGCAATGTAAAAGTTGTATAAGATGCCATATGCAATACAAGAGATTCAGTATCATTACCAATTTATCAGGGTTCACTATGGCCCATGTAGTACATTAAATGAGAATGAGATATTTATTTACTTTGAACAAAAATTTTGTTACACCATTCACAGAAACAAAAACATTTACATTAGAATCATAAAATGTATTTTATTGCCTAAGATTTGCTGGATAAATTTTTTGAAACGGTCCATCAGAAATTTAAATACTTAAAAGAACATTGAGTATGTAATCATACAGCTACAAATATGCCTTTTTTAAATAAAATATTTAGATCTTTAGCATGTACTAGCAGCAATATTAACATGTTTTATGTATGTATGCATTTTTTCTAACAATCTTCATTAAGATATATAATCATATATTGTTGAGAAACAAATGTCTGGTAAAAACAACTTATAAAAAAGTTCAAACTAGTGGTTTGTTCAGAATTAATGCTGATAGAAGTAATAAATGTTTTGTCTTTAAAATAATATAATTTAAAAATCACTAATACTGAAAAAAAAAGCACAAGTAAATAAAAAGGCAAATAAAAAAATAATCTAGTATTCTTGTCTCTGTCACATTTTATTTAGTTACTGCCCAAATTAAATAGTTTTAAGCATCAACATATTTCATGTTTCTTTTATTTATTTGTCTTAATACTTCATGAATAAACTATTTTGATCTAAAGGTTAACATGTTTTGCTGCAGTGTTTCAAGTTAAGGAATATGCATACCTGTTTTTGTATTTCTATTAACTATTGCACTGAATGTATTCTTTTTTTCTACATATAGGTAAATATATTTAGTCACGTACTTTCAGTCATAACTGTGCGCATAAATATATATCTTTTGTGTAAGTATTTACTGTACCAAACTCGTTTATTTTCAAACATATGTAAATTATATTGAAAATAATGTATATAATTTTTTCCATGCAGATTCTGATGGTATTCTGTTATACCTTCTTTCTTCTTGCCTTCAACGATCCTTCTTAATTTGCTGAAACTGGTACACTTGCATCTTTAGTCGCTATTCCTGCTTATTAAAGCTAAAAATGCAGAACTACACTTCGTACTACGCAAGTGATCATAACGAACTGTGGTAACATGAAAATTATATGATTATATCTCAGGTGAACTTTCTTAGTGGAAAAAAATTCTTTTTTAACTATAATGGTTATAAGTATACAAATTTTTTGTTTGCACATTAGAGTTTTGTTAAAAGTTTACTACTTTATATTTTGAATAAAGTAAATCAGATAGATATTTATATTAGGGAAAATTCCACATGAGTATGAAGTTATTTTGAAACGAAAGTTAAACCTAAGTTTCTGTCAGAAGCAGTTCTACTCTTTGCCATTTTTTTGTGTTCATCTGCTTATACTTTACATTTATGCCTATTTTATATTTGAGGAAAAAAAGCTGATCTACTTGTGTTTAAATCTTTAGGGTATTTTAGTGTTCTTTAAATTCATCACACAAATGATAATAACAATAAAAATTACAGCTACATTATATACATTTCCCCCCAACACACACACACACATTCTTGAGAACTTTGTATCTTTATACTCATTTCACTTCAGCATAATTTCACTCGTGACAAGGAGTTCCATTCAAGAACTTTCAGGCACCATTTTCTAACATCATCTCCTGGAAAGGGTGTACAACACAGTATTGTTATTTTCTCTTATGAATTTACCATTATTGTGTGCCATTTTCTAACGAATAGCCAAAATTAAACTAAATTATGACACTGACAAACAAACCCAAGCTATCTCTTATAGTTTTACCAATTTAGAAAATGTTTTTTTTATTGTTTTATTTGTATTTTCAAGTAAAGGTTTTATGTCTCAATGAAGATAATTTCAGTAAAGCAGGGTCTTTTTACATACAATAATCACAACATATTACCTTTCACGCATCTGCACTGTACCCAAGTAAGGATATGGTGCCTCTTTTAACTTCCCACGAAGTAAATCCTCCATTATTACATACAATAATCACAACATATTACCTTTCACGCATCTGCACTGTACCCAAGTAAGGATATGGTGCCTCTTTTAACTTCCCACGAAGTAAATCCTCCATTATTACATACAATAATCACAACATATTACCTTTCACGCATCTGCACTGTACCCAAGTAAGGATATGGAGCCTCTTTTAACTTCCCACGAAGTAAATCCTCCATGGTTTCTCGCAATAAAGGAGTATGTTGGGTATAGATATTTTCTACTCCCTAGGATAAAATTGTAAAACATGAATTTTTATTCTTTATGCACAATGAAAGTACACGAGAAAACCAGAAACAACATAAGCTGCCTGTACACACAAACACAAACGAAAAATAGACAAGTCAGACTAAAATATAAACAAAAACAAAATTTGTAACAGATACGTAGGTTTAAATAGTCAAACTTTCCAAGTATTATTTAAAACAACTATAATCTCTCCCATGCTATATCGTGATTAACTTACCTAACTTAAAGAATACTGATACCTCCATAATTAATCGTGAGCACTATTTCATATTTCTTCCATATACATTTCAGTTTTTAAAACTGACTTGGTTCGTTCAAGCATTATCTTTTATATTTGTGAACTGATTAAATAAATCAAGTAATGTTAAGGATATATTTATTCCATTCTCCAAGCTAAATTTTTAGCATCATAAGTTTTCTTTCTTATATATTTCTTTTAATAAGTTTGTTTTGTTTGAAGTTAAGCACAAAGCTACACAATGGGCTATCTGTGCTCTGCCATCTATGGGTATCGAAACCCGGATTCTAGCATTGTAACTTTTAATAAGTCATTATATTTAATCTTCAATAAAGAAAATTCATTGTTAATGCCTGTGATGTTAGCAAATATTTTTTAAATGTTTATATCAAGTAAACAGACAAATAAAATTTGTAACTGTATATATATATATATATAAAACACTATATATTGTTTATTATAAATTTAACTTGCAACTGCATACAGAACACTAAATATGTTGTTTATAAATTTTGCTACAGAGTTCAGATTTAAAATATCTTAAGTTAAGTACAATTGTTTATGAACATAAATATATATATAAACAAACACAAAACACTTGCTTCTTCGCTACTAGGACATTAAAATGTACATGTTACTTCATTTTCAGTCAGTGACTGTTGAGAGTGTGCTGAAGTCAACTCAAAATTAAAATTTACAATTTTTGTATTTTTATGTATAAAATTAAATAAATAGAACTTTTTTTTATAGAATAAATTTCAACACTGAAGTATTTTGTAAAAATAACTACAGCTTCAGTTTCTATAACTTATTTAACTCAATGATGCTATTCTACCCTCATAAGCAGACTGCACCCATCTAGGTATGTAGGAGTTAATACTCTAACTTCTCAGAGTAACAAGGGGTGTTATTGTTACTTTGCAGTAACTTGGTACTGTTAATAATTTGTGTCTTTGTTGATCATTCCTAAACTGCTTCTATTTACAATTACCTTATATTCAAAACTTGATAGTATTCTAAATGTTTTTGCCTCACCCTGATTTTAAATTAGGTAAAAAGTTAGATAATGGGTTATTTGTGCTGTGCCCAAACATGGGTATCGAAATCAAATTCTTAGAGTCATAAGTCCAGAGAATTACTGCTGAGTCACTGGGGAGTGATGCTGTGTATTATGACAGTTATGTATGCAATAATGAATGTTTCTTTACACGTGTATTGTACTTCATTATTTCCAGAAGCCAATTCAACTGTGATGATGTTTTTTTATGATTGGTTTTGAAACCTTTCTCATTAAAAACAAGTATAATTAGCAAGTTTTTGTATCTATCATTTGATAGTCAAATATTTCAGACACTTCAGCTTATTCAACAAAAACTATTTTTATCTGTATCATCATCAACAGATGTAAATAAGTCGAGTTCTTACAGGAAAATTAAAAGTAATAACTCAGGAAATACACCAGGTGTCATTTAACAGTACTTTACCTTTAGACCTTTGATAACTTTCCGAGTGATTGAGCGAACATTTTCAGCATCAAAAAGGTCATAGCTACGAGATTTGCTCCCCCCAAATTCGAGTGCAGAATACACCATCTGTAGATGATGAAAATTTATCCTGTCATACAAAAACTTAAGTAACTAAAAACTCTTTTACTTTTTCCAACATCAGAGATGTGATAAAAGCCAGCTTTTCCAACTACAACAATACAGTTCATGTAAAAGACACTTCACAGAAGCTAAGCTTCAAGAATTAAGCCCCCCCCCCATAATAAAAATCATGACTGATGAATGAACATGTATTATCAGTTTCATGAAATATAAACCACACCTCGTTCTAACTACAGATAATAAAAAAAATCATTATATGTCAATTTAGTGCCCTAAAAGATAAGTGTCATGAAAAACAAATCATGTTATATTCTAAAGATTAATAAAATAATACACACCATGATGGATGTCTCACAAGACATGAAAAAAAAAGCTTCATATGCCACGAGAGATGAATTGTCAGACATTTTAATGATTGGTACTCACATAAAAAACAAATCAAAAACAGTGCACATACTGTGATAAAATACTTTAGGAATTGTCTATTGGAAAATAATCCAAAATAATATGTAAATAACAAACAAACACCAATGGAAAGTACACACGTTTGCATAGAGTTATTAAATCACAGAAAGTGAAAAACATTTCATGAAGTCTGACTGATTACTTTTGGTAGTTCCACTATCCCTTCTTACTGGAAGCTACAATGAAGCCTGACTAATTAGTGCTGGTAGTTTCAGTAACTCTTCTCACTGGAAGCTACAAAAAGCTAGATGTTACAAATGTTATCAATATTCTTTTTCCTTGGTAGTGTTTAATAAAAAAACAGGATACGGGAATTTAATGTTTGTGAATATATATATTTGTTAAAATTGCATTTTATAATCAGATTTTTACATCATTATAAAGATAATTCTGTCTACTGTATTCTAATAACTTTCTGTACAATATTCAATCATAATTCAATCTAATAACAAAATGAAACAGAGTACAATGGTAACACAATGTTATAACAGGAAGATGAATTACATTTATTAAATATCTATTTACAAAACACTTATTAAGACAAGGTTTGAATATTAAAAAACAACAACAAAGTGGTATCAAATGATCAGCTTGAAAGGAAGGCACTCACTAACCTTCGTTAGTTTTTCTGAAACTCCTCGCTTCTTCAGAGCATCAACTAACCCTGTAATGTCATTGTTACTATGACGTTCGTAATGAAGAGCATACAGCATAACCAATCTTGTTGCATCAATGTCACGCACCTTCTCATTACCAATCAACCTACGAATCCTCTGTAATAAAAATGAATTATGAGCATTAAACAACATCCTTCTTTAGCCCACAGTACATTTATTATTCATACAAAACAGTAATAAATCACAATAAAATAATCTGTGGATCATGCCATACTGTAAAGGGGAGATTAGTATAAGTTGTATGCAACAATAAGGCAGTATTTATGCAGATACTGTGGTAGTTTGAGTTGTTAAAATGTGCCTTATTAGCAAGTGTAAGGAGGTTAGTCCTTTAGTGCAGTTGATAGAACACTAACCTGGCATGTGACAAGTTACATTACAACCCAGGGAAATGATAATATGGAAATGAAAAACATGTTCGTGATAATAGAAGAATGTAGTAGTTTGAGTTACTTGTTAAAAATTCCTTTACTAGCAATTCCTAATGGGTGAACCCCTTTATCTCAGTTTGTAGAGCATTTGTTAAAGTGTGAGAAAGGTCTTGGGTTTGAAACTGAGCTGAAGAAATAACATAAGAAAATTGAATTACCACAATAGATGTTAAAATTAGCTTTTGAATCATGTGCATATAATTTATGTTTACAATGTCATGCTTTCTATAAGAAAAAAATTTCTAATTGTAAACATGTTGAATCATATGTAGGTACACATATTTTGTTTCACCTTAAAATTTCAAAATTAATTTCACTGAAAATATTTCAAATAGCTTAAATTAAGGATTTATATATATATTAGGTCATCAGGAAATTAATGTCACTTTTTTTAGATGAAAAAAACCCAAACAACTTGTATATCAAACAAAACATTTATTAAATGAAATAGTCTCCATTCTTATCAATGATGCTTTTCCATATTACAATCAGGTTGTTAATGCCCTGATTAAAGAAATCAATTGACTTTGAAGCTAAGAACATGTCGACGTCCTCTTTAACACCTTCCACGTTTGCATACGTTTTCCCATTAAGATGGTGTTGCAGCGAACGAAAAAGATGGTAATCTGATGGTGCTATATCTGGAGAATATGGTGAGTAGGGGAGAACTTCCCAACCCAACTCCATAATCTTGTGTTGCATCAAACGTGCCACATGTGGACATGCATTGTCATGGAGAAGAAGAACACCTTTTCACTTCACGAATGAAGGGAGTTCCTGTTGAAGGGCTTGATTTAAACGTCCCAGTTGCTGACTATAGATCTCTGCATTGACAGTTCCCTGTGGATGAAGGGAGTTTCTGTTGAAGGGCTTGATTTAAACGTTCCAGTTGCTGACTATAGATCTCTGCATTGACAGTTCCCTGTGGATGAAGGGAGTTTCTGTTGAAGGGCTTGATTTAAACGTTCCAGTTGCTGACTATAGATCTCTGCATTGACAGTTCCCTGTGGATGAAGGGAGTTTCTGTTGAAGGGCTTGATTTAAACATTCCAGTTGCTGACTATAGATCTCTGAATTGACAGTTCCCTGTGGATGAAGGGAGTTTCTGTTGAAGGGCTTGATTTAAACGTTCCAGTTGCTGACTATAGATCTCTGAATTGACAGTTCCCTGTGGATAGAAGAGTTTGAAATGAATTTGTCCTTTGATGTCCGACCAAATGCAAAGCATCACTTTCTGTGGATGGAGTCCAGCATTTGAAGTGGTTTTTGTCTAGGACTGAGCCATTGTTTTTGGCATTTACTATTTGCAGAGAGAATCCATTTTGTATCACCGGTGACAATTCTCTCAAAAAATGGTTCACATGCATTACGCAGTAAAAGAGACGAAGCAACGTGTATATGTTGGAAACGATGATCATCAGAGAGTTCATGAGGCACAAAAACACCTTCTTTATGGGGTTTTCCCATATTCCTTAGATTTGTATATACTGTTTCATGAGAGTCATGCAATTTCAGGGCCATTTCACGAGTGTGTTGCCTTGGGTTAGACTCAACAAGCATTTTCAGAGCATCAATATCCATTCCAACGTATCAGCCTCTGCTATCACGGTTTTTATAGCTGAAATCACCCGAAAGAAATTTGCTGAACCATTGTTGACACTTATGAACGTTCAAGACATTTCCATAAACTTCTTTGATATTCTTTGTGGCTACAGAGGCTTAGTTTCCTTTCTTGTATTCAAACAGCATTACATGCCAAATGTGTGTCTCATCATGTGCCATCATTATAAGGGATTAGAGTATATTAAACTTTACACATTATATAAGCTACATTAATGTGACATTTAGGCAGTTTGTTTAACTATTATACGTGATGTATGTTTTTTGGGGGATGGTTAATGAAAGTGTTCCAAAATGTGACATTAATTTCTTGATGACCTAATATATAAATATATACATCAATCAATTTCTACAATCAAGTTTTCAATGTTTGTTTCTAAACATTTTTTTATTTAAAACCCAATAAAATTCGTTTTTACACCACAATGCTATTTTTATTTTTATATTACAAACATAAAAATGTCCTACATAAACCTTGAATAGTATCTCAGTCCTTTTAAATAAAACAAGTAAAAAATTAAAATTATAGCTACCTTCAGATTTTCAGAATGGTCTGACTGACAAGAAAGTTCCTGCTCCGTCTCCGATACTTCTAATAGGTTGTGGCTAGCAACAAGTCGAGACAGCTCCCCCACCATGGTGACATGCTTTGCTACTGTGCCAGACATCTTCTTAAACTGAGGGTAGTTTTCAACAAATGCCTGCAATTTGAATGTTGGTTAATTCACTTGTTAACAAGGGACAGTATCTAAATTACTTTATTTTTCCACATTAGTTCAAAAGACAAAAATAATCATTTTTGATGTTTGCAAGTATGATAGCTTGAACATCACATTAATTTAGTAACATTTGTTTTCTTAATTAATGCTAATACTAATTTTATATTTAAAATGATTTTGATACTTACAATATTACACCAATGTACCACACTGAGTATCTCTTATTATGATAGACATTTTAACAATATAATGTAAGTTAGGTTTAAATGCCACCAAAATTATTTGGTTTATTATTTGTTTTATCCATGTCTTTATCTTGTATATCATTACATGTTAATTGTTATGTGATGAAAAAGGCAGACCTGACTGTAAGAATAGCAAACACCACTATCATTAACTGGAAGCTATTTCTTTTTTTATCATATATTATACAAATTAAGTTTGATATATATAATTTATACTTAAATTATTTTTATGACAACAGAAAATAAATAAGTCTGCTGACAATGAAATATCTTGTAAAAGAAACATACTAAAAGTACAGATATACATGTAAAATTTGACTATGGACCTCCTGCCACTTCTAGAATTTGGCATTAAAATTATTCATACTAATTACACATACACAACTTTTAAGATACTAGCCCACCCAGTGGGAATAGTTCTAGTAACACTTACTTGTACAATTAAATTTTGAATAGCTTTAATTGTAAAAGTTATATTCTGCTTTAACCCTGTCTGGAACCACAGGTCAACTTTCAGTACCAAGTGCATATCTGCATATCAAATTTCAAAATTTAAGTAAAAATAATAATTTAAATTCTAGTTCAAAAACTTTTAACTCAAAAATACTTTAGAATTGATATTTGTCATCTTATAACATTTACTTGGGGTAATTTTCAAATAAAATTAAAAGTTCAAACTTTCATTTCTTAACAGCTTCAAAAAGTCTCTCTGTGAACAACATACAAATCAATTTGGTTTTTTTAATTTTCTGCCCATACCAAAGTATAAGTTTATATTTACTATGAAACTATCAACCCCTGAAAATAACATTATCCACTTTCTTTATCATATGAATTTTTTTTCTCTTTCACAGGTTTTATTACTACAGCCTTTGTTCCCATCCTTTTATGTGATCTGAACAATTACTAATGATGCTAAGACTTGAAAATAGATATAAGCAAAGGTTGAATAAAGTTAGATAGAGCACATTATAAACTATTTACATCAAAATAAAGTGAATAGAATGATGTGAGAAATAATTTATGGTTTTATGGGAGTGATTAGATGAGAAGAAAAACAGAATCTAATGGCAAGTTTAGAAGACTTAAGAACAAACCACATAGTAAAGTTGTTTTAACAGCGAACATAGTAAAGGTCTTTTAACAGTGGACATAGTAAAGGTCTTTTAAAGGTGTTTTCTTTTGTGACAAAACATCAAGTAAGCTTAGTTCAGTTCATCAACTGGGGCATGCAATAAGAAAATACTTAAGTTAACTTAAACCTTTATTTATTGAATATAATTGTTAAGTTTATCATATTCAAGCAACATAAGCAAGTAAAACTACCGCTACGTAACTTGTCCTGACTCTGGTTGGTAAGATCAAATGCATAAGTAAATCTGATATTTTTATGATATATACCTGGTAGTGGTGATTACTGTAATCAGCAAAATAAAATATCAAAGGAAATATATTAATCCTTTTGCATCAGTCTCCTGCAATTTACAGAAATACGACTGGGGAATGATACGTGCGCAACAATGCTTATGATAATTCTGAACATACTTAATGCATCCTCACAAAAACTGGTAATATCTTATTAAAGATTATAAGTATCTTGTACACAAAAAATGACATTATTTTGATTAAGTCTTTCTACTAAAAATATGTTACCTATTTATTGTAGTTATTTGCACTCAGACTCTGTATATTTTGAGTGCAAGGTGATTTTCATGTTAAGTATAAAATCTTACAGTTTGAGTTTTATTTGCATAAATTCTAGAACCTCCTAAATGAATATCAAAAGATTTTTAAGCTAAGTATTTATATTTTTCATTTTCTCTACCATATCACTAACTGTAGATATTATCATCAACTTAGAGTACATACCTTTTCATTTTTGTAGAACATCTTAAAAGATCTTCTGGTGATATTTGTAATTTCAGATCTTTTTCTTTTCACATGTACTTAACTTTTAATGTTTTATTTTCCTTTCCTTTACCGTTTATTATTCATCTCAACACAAGTCAACAATGCCCTCAGGACATATTACAGTATATTTGGGAGAGATGCACATGCCTTCGACAAAAGTACCTTACATTTGCATAAGATTGTAAACCCTGAGAACTGGGGCAATGTTTGAGATAAATTTAAAAAATGTTTAAACCTTTCAATTATGCATTTTAAATCATAAATAATATATAATCAACTAAGATATAAAAGTAAAACCAAAATACAATTTAACTATCTCTCTAACTATAACATATTTATGGAAGAAACACCCATAAGTGCTATCATGGATAAAGCAGTCAACAATACTACAGGCAGTTACATCTACCCAACGACGACAATCAAGTGCCAGTTTCAAAATAACTGTTGTTAGATTATAGTGTAAAATGAGCTATTTCTAATGACTATATACATGTGTGTCAAGTAACTATATGCAACTTGTAAAGCTCAAGGGATAGTATAGAAGATGGGCATGGCACCTGTTAGGGGTTTGAAAATTTTTTCTCTAGTTTCAACAGAACTCAGCCAAAGAACTTTGGAACAATAGGGCAAGTAAACATACTTATTGTCTAGATGTACATCTACCAGACTGGGGTTAACTTATTCAAGATAGAGAGTATGATAGTTGAGATTTTTCATAGCATGTGACAAAAGAACTGAAGTTTAAGTATTTTTTCAAAACTTTTTTTTTCAAACATAATGCTTCAAAATAGAATATACATTACAATGTTAATTTCATTGACATACATTGATATCAAAGTTATTTAATTAAATTTTGAACGTAACTTAGTGACTTATATAGAAAGGGCATTAATGGGGTACCCATTGTGAAAGAGTTAATGATTATCAATCAAGTTGAAATCAACTGGATATATAAAGTGGACCTTTCTGACAAACAATAAACAAAAGGGAATCCTCAATAGTTACAGCTGTACTTAGATCTCAATTCAGTCAAGAGCTATGAGCTAAAAGTTTGTACTTGAAAAAAAACTCAAAGCTATTCTATGAACCACTATGCCATGGCTAAAAATGTAAGTTCTAAGTATTTTAATATTTTCCCAAAGTATCTCACAAGAAAATGTTTGAAATTTCATGACATAAAAATTACAGAAAAAATACCAAATTATATTATTTTTTAAAGCCAAAATTAGACACTACTTAATGCACTTTTTCCAAGTTTCATGCATTTCCACTGTAAAGATGAATAATCTAGAGGATATCAATAATGTCCCTCCAGTTCACAGAAAGAGTTAAACTCAACAAAAGTGATGGCCATTTCACATTTACTGTATTGTTTTCTTATCATTACCTTTAGAGATGATTCTAAATAGCTTTTTTTTTCCTGATTAATAACTCACTGAATATAACTGCTCTATCTAGTTTAATAACTCAGGAAAGACTGCATATTTAGTGCAGTGTAGTGCTGATGTAGTTGTCTGCAGGGGTGCATTTGAGTTTAATTACTGCAGTAACTTCAAAC